GAAAAAGTGCAACAGATATAGAACAACAAATAGAGACACAGAAACGAGTGAGAGAGAGCATGCTTGCTTTCTTTCTGTTTGTTCCAAGTGGACCTTTTCTCTCCACAGTGCTTTCATTTGAAAGTACCTCCTGCATGAGAAATATCTACTGTGATCATTTTTACTTTCAAGAAGCATGGATCATTTCAATACATATTCTTGGCTGTTTTTTTTTTTTTTTTTCCTTTTTGTCCTTTTTTACTGACCGGTAACGGGATTGCAACCCTTGGTGTTGTGCCCGCATCTCGCTCAGCCAGTGAGCGGGAACCAGTCTCCACATGGGATCTGAACTCTCAGCGGGAGCGCGGCGCACTCTCCAGTGCGCCACTGGGCCGGCCCCTTGGCTGTGTTTTGTAATAATTTTTACTCTTTGTATTATTTTAGATTTTTTAGAACTCCTTTCCAATGAGTGTTGACATAATATAGAGTATCTGATTTATTAAAAAAGCATCCCTTTGAGGGACAGCTTTTAGACAGATATTTTAGAGCCCTCTGTGTTGGAGCTGGAGAATTTGAAGTCAATCCCAAATTAAATCCCATGGTTTACCATGGTAGCCCCAGCATGAAGTAGGTGCTAAACAAATAGTAGTTGAGTAAATGAGTAAAAGAAAGGAATATCCTGATTTAAAATATAGTTGTCCTGTACACCTAGGGATATTTCTGGGAATCTAGATCCAGGAAATTGTTGCAACCACCTAGTCACTTCCAACCCACCAACAATGCCAAAGGAAGCAGCCTTTTAAAGTTAGAAAAGGCTAGCAGAAAGCCTTATCCTGAAAGAGGTTTAAAAGTTCAGGCAGTCTTTAATACTTAGTTCTGTTACAATGTAGGGTCAGGCTGTCTGGATGCAATGCTTCCTTTCCCTTCTACAAGCAGCATTTGAAGCAACTTTGTTCTGAAGGTGTCACATGAGGTACCCTATGGTTCCCAGCCATGGCCAGTTTAAAAGGCCCCTTCGGCCTTGGCAGTGTCACTGGTGATGCCCTGAAAAGCACTCTCCCCAAAGTGCATCAGAGGAGGAAGGGCCATCATTGTTAAGGTTATTGTTATCTTCTGATAGCATTTGTGTTGTTGGCAGGACCAAGGAGAGGAGTATGTAGGAAGCTGATCAGACAACAGAGAGAAAGAGAAGACAACTTCCCCAGCACTGAAGCAATCAGACGAACACCTGCTGTATACCAGTGGGCTCTTCCTGCTCCTCTGTGTGCATGTGTGTTTTGGGGGGTGGCGGGTGACCTGCTGGAAGGACCGGCTCCTCCTGGGAGACACGCTTTGAAATTCTGTTCCCAGCCCCTGAGGCTCTGCTGTCACCTACTCAGAGTGCACTTCCCCTCTGAGACTGGGAGGCCACCACTTTGCTCTCATTTAAAACACAGATCCTGAATTAGAGGGGCAATTTTAAAGCCAGTGCTTTCAAACAGTTAAAGAATGAGACACCACAGATCTTTTAATAATTCCCTGCAGGTTGTTTGTTTTGATAGTATTTACTGAGAAATGTATGCATTTTTTAGTTGAATAAATCTAGATAGGGCCACCTTCTGAAATTTAAGAGTTAAGTTTAAAAAACAATAGGTTAGTAATAGAATAACATAAAACTGTTAGCTTTTACTTATAATACTCCATCTGCCTGAATGTAATATGTGCAATCTTATTTTTCTGATTACAAAAAGTACATATTTTTAATCCTTTGGCGTTTAAAAGAGTATGTTTTCCTATGGCAAGAGCTACCTATCAGAATTAGCCAATAATAAAAACAACGAAACATGCCACTTCTCACCAAGGTGACATTCAAAGTTGTTTCTCCCCCCCCACCAAAAGGAAACTGAGGAACAATAAGTTAGCTCTGGGTCCCACACGCCCCTCTCCCCTGCCTCCCCACATCTGTAAAGGCCCTTTATTGCTTGTGCAATGTAATACGCATAGGAAATGTATCCTCTTGTAACTAGGGTATTTTTTTTTTCTGTTTGTTTTCTCTTCCAGCATTTGATCACTGGCTGGTGAACTATTTGGGCCCACAGAGATCTCTAGACCACCAGCTCATGTATTTGAAAGGCATCTGTTTATTTTGAAAATGCAAATGTGGCCTACCTCAAAGACTGACAGGCAAGAAATGACCCACTGAGCAAGGGGAGAGGTTTCCAATCTGGAGCCCTGTCCCTCCCTTAATCACACCAAGATCACTCACTGTCAGAAACACTTAAACCAGCTCCTGGAATCTGAGCGAAGGGGCTGCAATTAACATGAGCAGGCTCATCTCTCAAGAATTAGCCAGGCAGATCATTTCTCGCCCAGTTTAAAGTAATGATGAGGTCGTTCACAAAATGACTCAGAGCCTTTGAAATGGTGGCTCCTAGACTGAGGGCTGCCTGGAGGAGGGCCTGATAACAGGGACACCAGCTTCTAGCAGCGGCCACCCAGTCCTTATGAGGAGAGAGCCCGGGAAGGTTAATACCCCGACTTTGATCTCTGTCAAGGCATACCAGCAAGAATTAATTTACATTTCAGATGAAAAAGGTTGACAGCATGAAAAGGCATCTTGTTTCTGGTATGTGAATGTGCCGTAATAGATCGGGAATTCTGAAAGGAAGTTCTGAGGAAGCTAAAGGGATAAGCCGCGCGGCCGCTTTTATTGGGAAAGAGATGAAAGAAAAACAAATTTCAATATGCGCAGCTCTGTAGCAACATGTAGGCCAAATGCTTCCTAAATTTCAAGGGCTGCTCTTTTAAAAATATATAACATATCTTAGCAACACCACTAAAAAAAAAAAAATACTATGGGCCAGAACTAGAAATACAAACAAATGCATTCCACAGAACCTAAGTTTCAAATGAAATGATTTGTTGAAAAATGAGTTAGAGGATAGCCTTAGAAAACAACCGTAAATGGTTGTGCTAAGGTAACATCCCTAAGCCACTTCCCACAGGCTTCAAAAGTAAGGGGACCATTGTGTCTGACTCTTATTCTGCTTGGAAATGTCCTAGTGGCACTAAAAGCAGCTTGTAATGAGAAGATTATGCTTTGGGAAGATCACAACCCCAAACGGAAAAGTTACAGTGAGTTGCTTTGCCTTTTAGATAAACATAACCATGCCTTTGAATCTAAAGATAACGAAAACATTCTCAAGTAAAAGTAAACTGCCCATAAAATTGCAAACATAGTCACCCTATTTGTGCATCTTTACCACCAGCATAAAACCAGCTTGTCAATTCCTGTCCTTGGTGTTAGCTTTAGGGCAGAGACTCTGTCCCCTTTTGCTCTAGCAGCCACTCTACTTCCAAGAGGGCAGAGGTGGTGTTAGTGCCACCTCCAGGCACACCTAAGCCCTGCAGACTCAGTTGATGGAAGTTCTGACACCATTTGATAGGTGGGAAAGCTTTGCCTGCAAGGCTAAGGAAGGGGTGCTTGCAAAGCCAAAAGAAAAAAAGGGAGCACCGTACAGTGCTCCACTGAAAAGATGCGATCACTACTGTCCTTGTATCATGATGATGAAGCTGACCCATCTCTGTTTTTATGCAGTGTCCACATGGTGGTAACAGAGTGCAAAACAGGGAGCCCTCTAGAGGTGATTCTCAGATAGGGAAAATTTATGATTCCTGTACTGGTATACTGGACTCAGTGGATCAACAATACGCATGCTCGAAGTTTATATTTTAAAACACATGTTGGGCTTTGGGCTAAGCTCCAAGATCAGAAAACAGTCCAGTATCCTCTTTTAACATGAGACAGTGTGTGTGTGCACGCGTGGGAAGGCGGGCAAGTACAGAGCAAATGATGCACTTTGGGTTGTCTTTTCTAAGCTGCAACAAGAATTGCATCCCTGTTCCTGACTCTTTGAAGTTGCAGGGCTTAGAATTCCTGGGGGATGGCGTTAAAAGTTACACATTTGCATTTAAATGGCACCCCTTCCTCCCAAACATTTTAGTTTTGAATGAAGATGTCAGGCCTCTACAGCAGCCTGAGAGAGTTCCAAGAAGTGTCCCTGGAGCCAGGTTCTAGGCAGGGACCTCCTTAAAGAAGTTGCAGCTGTTTTATTTAAGAATTTGCTTCAAGCTTGGCAGTATCTGAAACCTATCTCTCTTTCCTGCTGCTGAGTTCCCTGGCTTGGTTACTTCTCTCTCATTCCATCTCCAATTTCTTGTACTCCCAGAGCTCTTGGTGTGCTCATGAGCCTGTTTCTTCCAGAGCTTCAGTTAGGACTGTGCAGCTTCAAATGAGGGAGGAAGCCCAGCCTGGCAGCCATGGTGGACACTGCCATTTGCAGAAGAGCAGAGTGACCTGAGAGCCAGGGAGTGGATGGATGAGCCAGTAACCAGAGCTCATAGCTCTCAGGCTGCCGAGGGCAAGGTGAGCCATAAGAACTTCCCTGTGCTCACCCTATGGGGTCCGGAGAACCATGCTAGCCACATACAGGCCTGCATTTAGGAAACTTAGTTTGCTGGGAAAGTCCCTGAGTTATTCCTCCTCTGCAATGCTGAGACAGGTCTGGCATATATCAGAGAATTCTAAGGTTGGAAGGCACCTTTCAGACCTTTTTCAAGCAGTTCTCTCATTTCACAGATGAGGGACATGTGACTCCAAGAGGGAAAGACTTCAGTTGGCAGTACACCTAATTGACTCTGTCCCAGCTGCCCGTGTTCAAATGCCAGCTCTGCCACAGACGAGCTGTGTGACTGTGGGCAAGTTACTTCACTTCTCTTGTGCCTCAGGTTCCTCCTTTATAAAGTCGGGAATGTGCTTACCCAGAGCATCCTTAGCCAAGTATGGCACACAGCAAATGGAACGCTGTTAGCCTCATTGTAATGACACAGGATTGTGTCAGAACAAGCGCTAGGACCCCCCACTAGAGCCTTGACTCATTCTAGTGTTTCTGAATTACTAACGTTTCAGCTTCTCTAAACTCATAAGAACTTAATTGCAGAATATTTTCAAGCGGACACTGTAAAAATGATGTTTTAATTACCTGCTTGAATACGAACAGCAGACTCACTCCTTCTGTTGCTTATTTTCTTAAATTTCCTCCAAGTATCATATCCTCTCCAGGCTGAAAATATAAAACCATGTGCTAGGAATGACATTAATTTAAGAACATGCCAGAGAATTGATATAAGCTGTTTCCCCTCCAATCTATTACCCCCTCCTGCTCCCCCCTGCTTTCTCACTGAGGAGAATGAGCAGAGATACGTGAGCTGTGGCAGGGAACAGGAGCCTCTCTGTACCCAGGGCTTGGCTTCCAAGATGCTTCTGAGGTGTTGTTTCAGTTCAGACAGTGAATTTCTAGAATACTCTGGATTCCACTAATGAATCACTTGGAACCCACAGGTGAGGTGGTTCCCTGACACTCCAATCCATCGAAGAAAACCTGTCATTGGGACTTGGGGATACTATGGGGGAGGGGGGACTTGGAGGAATGGTGGGAAGGAATATTAGAAAAGCCTGGCTCTTCCACTATTTTTTATTTGGGAGAAAGATACGAACTTGAAAGTCAAAGGAGAGAACGATAAAGAGGGGAGTCAAGGGGAATACTAAGTAGCACAACAGTAGCATTCGCTGAAGGTAAACTCTGTGCCAAGAAGTATGCTAGGGAGGGGAAACGTGCAATGGGGGAGGAAAAGGCAAGGATGACGGTGAAGAGGAGGAGAGAAAGGAGGAAGGGGCTCGTCCATAGCACAGGAGCTCAACTGCTGTTTGTAACACAAATGACATACATGTGCACAAAGAGGCGCCAACCAGGCTGGGCACATCAGGGAGCCTAGCCATTTGTTCCTTTGGTTCACAAGGTCTATCTGGGCTAGAAAAGCCTTCTGGCAGTGGCATTAGTCATTCTGATGCTGGAAACCTGGTCATGGGCTAAACTGATATTAACCCAGTCACTCTGGGAGATGCAGTATGTATCTGTGTGATTGGGCCACTCACGCTGCCTCTGTCCTGCCACTGGTCACAGTGGTTGTGATGACCTGTTTGCTTCTCTGTGAGGTCAGGGACCATGGCCATCTTGCTCATGGCTATTCCCTAGCACCTAGCACAGGGCCTGACCCGTAGTAGGCACACAGTAAATATCTGCTAAAGCAAGAAAGAAGGAAAGAAAGAAAGAAGAGGAGGGAGGGAGGGAGAAGCAAAGGGAAGACACCACTGAGAAAAGCACCGGGTGAGCACCTGCAGTACTTAATGAAAGGCCGAGGCTCAGGGCGGTATTCATGAGAACCATCCGTTACCTGACTGGATGGCAGTGGCTGCCTTCTCTCTCTTCTCTCTGACTCTTCTGTATCTCCTGGCTCCAAGCCACCCCTTGGTATATGCCTGCAGCACAACCACTCTGCCTATGACTTCTCGCAGTAACAAATTTAATTGCTCGACATGGTAATATTTGAGAAAAACCTGAAATGAGACACTTGTTTTAGCATCACATATGCGCTCCCCAACAGAAATTTTCTGTACTCCAGCACATTATTCATGTAAATAGTAAAGCCATTAATTTACAGCGATTTGATTTACGCTTATATTACTGACTTCTTGGAGGCAAATACAATTCCTCTTCTAAGGCTGAGCTGCTCCTCGATTATTGACGTAAACTGATGATGAGGTTAACAGGGCTTAGGCTATCCCAGATGATCTCCAGGCCCATCTCATGTCAGCCAAGAGTCCCATTTTCTCAGCCTGAGCTCTACTCTCTTTCCCCACAGCCTCTGATGGATGTGCTAACCAAGAGGACTGACCCACACCAACAGCGGAAGTTCAGAGAGGACCTGGATCATCCACATGATCTAATTTCTGCTGAGGAACAGCAGTGTTGCCATCAACTCTCAAGCTTTGTAGGATAGTCAGGATGGACCATAAAAATCCAGGATCCTGCAGGGATGTGATGTTCTACCAAATGAAAAGCTACACCCAATCAGGGCACGCAGTATATAACATGAATCTAATGAAAAAATGGACAAAACTCTAAAAGAAATTCATCACTGCCATTAATATGATTTGTGTATTTAAATGTGGTACTGAAATAATCAGATTGATAAAAGGGATATCTTAAAATGACCTCAAAAATCTTATTCTAGAAATACTAAATAGCTCTCAAATTGCACACAGAACAGGAGGCAAAACTTCCTTCTTTGGTCTCTAAGATCCCTGGATTTCTGACTCAAGACCAGAAAAGATCATTGGGGAATTGTCTGCTAAGCTACACAAGTTACAGAGCCATTCTTGCAGGTGATGTCACTGACAAGAGACAAAGGCACACAGAAAGAACTGCAAGTGACAATTTGAACAATAAAGAAAGAACTACCTTTGTTTTTCCTAGTACCCAGTGATCTAATCTGGACTTTTCCAAGATAGCGACACAGCTCTCTTTGCTAGCAAGAGGTGTTTGATGTGCTCTGAATGCCAAGTAATAATACCTACAAAATAAAAGAGTAAAATGAAGCATTTTTAGTGATCATTTGATTCAGTACAGTGGCATTGCTGTGGACCCGCTGACAGACCTTGCTTTTCAATAGTTAATATTTCCTGAGCACCAATAATAACATACAAGGTAGCAAGAGATACATGGTTTATACTTATTAACTTGGCTCTTACCTACTTTCATATTTTCTGCTACGCATATTTCCCTTTTAATGTTGCTTTGTAATTCATGTTCAATGCATATTTGGTGTCTTTTGCATGCACAATCAAAATATCTAATCATTTTAGAAAGCTGAAATTTAGACAGCTTCCCTAGTCAAAATCATAATTCTTAATATTAGTATTACTATTATAAAAATAATATAAATCCCATTGTACATATTTTGATTTCGCTTTGTAAAGTCTCATTTGAAGCAGTCTGTAGACAGCAGAAGTAATGAGCATCACCTTACACTACTGATGCTTTCTGGAGAGTGGATTGTCTTACTCAAGGTAAAGAGGAGGGTGTTTTCTTAATACAATCACAAATACCATGTTTGTTTTTAAAAATTATTTTAGTGAACTTCTAAACTTTCAGATGAAAGAGTTTCTGGATAGATTCAAAGAACAGCACAGTAGGGGAGGAAAACTATACTGGCTGAGGCCCCTATAACAAAAGACAGAGTAACAAGAGAAAAGCATACAAATTTATTTAATGTAAGTGACATAGGAGGCTTCGTAAGGAAATGAAGACCCAAAGAAACAGTTAAACTTGCGTCTTTTTATGTGAGGTTTGATGAAGAGGTGGATAGTCATGGAGAAATAGGATTGGACAAAGAGCACGATCTAATGGTTATCAACTGGGGGAGCTTAACAAGGCCTATTCGTTCGGGTTCTTCTCTGGGTCTCGGGGTCTTCAGAGATAAGGATGATCCTCTTTTTCTCAGATATAGGGAGGGCACCTCTCATGTGAGAGTTCTATGACCTGTTTTAGGGCAGAGGGGCAAGAGAAGGTGGGGGTGACCTTGCTGCCTCGGCTGTTTCCTCAAATGCCATGGTGCCAGATTTGGGGGTAGCATGTCCTGAACCCTATCACTATCAAAAGAGGTTTTTTCCTCCCCTTCCCTTTATTTTCCCTGTTTTTAAAAAATAAAACTTGTTGAATATATTACCCATCTAGAAAATCTTACCTTAGTTTGTTCTTTAGAAAACTTTAAAGGATCTTTTCTCTGCTTTTTGTCGTTATCTGCAATTAAATTCACCCCCTTGGAAGCTTAAACATAAACTTAATTTCCTTGTCAAAGAAGTTTCCTGCCATTTTTCAGACAAGGCTAATCTGTTATTTTGAAATTGCTTTTTTTTTTGGCAGCTGACTGGTATGGAGATCCAAACCCTTGGCCTTGGTGTTATCAGCACTGCTTTCCAAACAACTGAGCTAATTAGCCAGCCCTGAAATTACTCTTAAATATAGATCTGTTTTTACTTTTTTTAAAGAAAGTTACCAAAATATGAAATATGTACCTCCCTCCTGCCAAATATACCCATATTCTTTGTTTATGAAAAAAATAAACATTCCCAATCAGCACTTGAGTCATTTTTCTTCATGCTACAAGATTGTTTTACAGGTTAGGATACAATGCTGGGTTTGCTAGAAACGTCTCCATTCAGAGATCCTGGGACTCCACGGCTCTCAGTCTGTTTCCATGTTTGGGGAGGAAGAACGGTGCTCTCTGAACCTGAACAGCAGCCAGGACCAGATGATGCTAGATTATTTGGTCAAGCTCAGGAACCTGCTCACAGAAAAAGTCTTCTGGAGCTAAGTGGGAAGAGAGACAAGTCAGGAGTCGAGCTGAGGCCTCTCTGGGCAGTTCATGGCATCAGCACAGATTCTTCAGCCCCAGTTTCTCCAGGACTGCAGTTTCAATAATGGTTTCTGCCTTGGCTTTGACCACAGCAAAAAGATTGTGTCCTGGAGTACATGAGGATGCGGTAAGAATAGATGGCAAATTTATACCAGACAAGTGTCTTGGGAAAGCTGAAGTACAGATGATTTAAGGAGTAAAAGTCAGTGATAAAAATGAAGATTTTCTATACTTTTAGGCCCAGCCATTCGCAATATGGGCTCCCTTGGCTTAAACAGCCTAGGCTGCTCGTGGTGAATACTCAGTGCCATTGGTGGTGAAGTATTTAGAGAGAACTTAATGACTGACCAGCAATGTGTGAAATATAAGAGGAATGCAAGATATATTCTGGTTCCCCAGCCAAAGATTATACTAATTTTTCAGGTATCTGGGGGTGTTTCTTAGCAACTGCTAATTTCTAAATGGGCAGAATGTATCCTGAACTAACATAAATATTAAAACTTAACTTTGATTTTAGTCCATTGACCCAAATCTTTTAATTTATTATGATGATAATAGTCATATCTGGCTTAGTTAAGAAAAAGATGGGTAACAGTATTACAAAGAGGTGGTTTCAAAAAATATTGAGGAAACACATAGTGATGTATCTAAGGTAATCAAGTCAGAGAAAGAAAACGTGTTTCCTCCATGGAGTATCATTGAATTCTAGCATGTACCATGGTGAAAAAAGCACTTTGACTAAATTCGTGTGTATTTCAATGTAACGGCTAAACTGAAAGGAACCAGGCCAAGAGATCTGCCAGCACTGGGAGTCTTTTGGGGGAGGTCCTTTCTACCCCAGATTAGCTTAATGAATTAAATGAGATGGAGATATGCAACAGCAAAATAATAAGTGTAAAGGTCTGTCTTGAAGGTCTGAACACTTGGGGGCATTGCAAAAAAAAACCCAAACAGTATTTCCCTGAGCTGCCTCTTGAAGGTGGAATTTATCTCATAGATTAGAGTCTGAGCACTGTGTTAAAAGTCAGAAGATCTTTGTCTCTAACATGAGTAAGTCACTTACCTCTTTGTACCTGAATTCCTACAGGTGGGGAAGGAACCAGGTAAGTGGTTCTTAACTCTTTTTGGAGGGAAGGGATGGCAAGGCTCATGACTATGAAAATCTGATAAAAAGCTGCACACATTCTGTCTCGGAAAATGTTCTTTGCACAATACATTGCATACCACATCAAGGGGTCCACATTGCTGCTGATGGCCCTCTAAGGACCTAAGAGCCCTTCCTGCTCCAGATCTATGGATGGTGATAAATTTCCCAAAGTCTCATTTTATTAAAATATATAAGCTATTAAAATAGTAAATACCCAGTTGAAAAAATCTCTATTCAAAAATGCTGTTTAGTTTTCTAAAATGTTTTGTCATATGGAATGCAGACTCTTCAAGGAAGAGTTTTAAAATATAACAGGCAAATCAGTTTGTGAAATATTAGTAAAAGCAATAGGAAACTAGAGATAAAACCATAAACTGGAAGGATCTGTAAGATTCTGGGCTATTTGCTTTCTATTGCTGTATAGCGAATTACCTCAAAATGTAATGCCTTTTAAAAACATACATTTATCATCTCACAGTTTCTGAGAGTCAAAAATTCGGGAGCAGCTTATCTGGGCAGTTCTGGCTCAGGGTCTCTCATGAGATTACAGTCCAGCTGGCAGCCATGGCTGTAGTCATCTGAAGGCTTGACTGGCACTGGAAGATCCATTTCCAAGACTACTCACTCGCATGGGCGTTGGTAAGAAGCCTCAGCTCCTTGCTACGTGGGCCTCTCCAGAGGACTGCTTGAGTATCTTTAAGGCATAGAAGATTGCTTCCCTCAGAACAAGGAATCCCAGGGAGAGACAGAGAGCAAGGAGGAATTCATAATGCCTTTAATGACCTTGGCTTAGAAGTGACACACTATCTCTTCTTCCAAGTTCTTCTATTCCTTAGATCTAAGTCACTAAAGCCCAGATTACTTTCTTTTTTTTTTTTTTGTCTTTTTTCCGTGTCCGGCAATGGATCGCAACCCTCAGTGTTGCCCCCGTACCGGACCGGGGACCGGCAACGGTTTTTCCGTGTCCGGCAACGGATCGCAACCCTCAGTGTTGCCCCCGCACCGGGCCGGGGACCGGCAACGGGATTGCAACCCTCAGCGTCGCCCCCATGCCTCGCTCAGCCAGTGAGCGGGAACCGGTCCATATGTGGGATCTGAACCCTCGGGCGGGAGCGCCGCTGCGCTTCCCAAGCGGCGCACTATCCAGTGCGCCACCGGGCCGGCCCCCCAGATTACTTTCAATGATAGAAGAATTAAGTTTCATCTCTTGAATGGAGAAGTATCAAATAATTTGTAGGAATTTTTTTTTCTTTTTTTGCTGGCTGTGCGTTATGGGGGATCAGAACACTTGACCTTGGTGTGACAACACTGTGCTCTAACCAGCTGAGCTAACCAGCCAGCTCTCTGTGGAACTACTTTTAGACTACCACAAAGGATTTCTCTAGATCACCAAGTCTTCTCTCTACCGATGAAGAAGGCCACTCTCAATGTTATGAAATAACTTGCTCAAAATGACAAAAGGTAAATAAAAAGGCTAAAATTATTGTTCAAGTATCCTGACTTTCAGGTCGCTGATTTTTTTATTTTTTAAAGAACTGATATGAATCCAGCTAATGAAGTTTAATTTTTGATGCAAGGGAAAGAAACAAAAAAGAGTAAAGTTAAATGCTACTTCTCACCAGAAAAGAAAAGACTGATAAATTTGCCTGCAAAAAGTAAAAATTTTTCTACATGAAAAAATTTGAAAATTTGGGAAGACTTGGTCTCTTTTAGCTTCATTGTCTGTTTAAATACAATGATTTTTCCATATTATACTTTATTACACTTTCTATAAAAAGGCCCCAACAAAATGCTATTGTTTGGAATGTAGGTGCATCCCTCACCAAAATCAATGGTGGTGAATTGCTTGGCTGACGCTCAAAGCTTATTTAACCTATTTAACTTGAAGAATATTACCATTGAGGCAGAAGGGAGCTTTTATTTCTCATATTCTCTTTTCTTCAGTGCAAATGGAGAAAGTCTTTGGTAAGACAGATAGAGAAACAGAGTTTTCATTAAATGCACTAGA